AAAAAAAAAAGCAGAAATTAAAGCGACAACAGCAAAAGCGCAACAGCAATAGAGCAGAAGCAACGCAAAACAAACCGGAGTATTAAATCGAAATTATTTTTATTTTTATTTTCGCTTAATAGTGTTCGTTATTTTTATTTATTTATTTATTTATTTATTTTTTTTTTTTTTGCTTAAAAAGTCAATTTAAATCGTTCTTATGTTTTATATTTTTTTTTAAAACTGCTTTTAATACCAATAAAACATCGGGGTAAATTGTTTTTATTTTTATTTAAGAACAATTAAATAAACGAATTACTTTTTTAGTATTATACAAAAATTAAATTAATAATATCGGTACTCTTAATGGTTATATATTTTGTTTTTAAACTATACAGTAATGAATTGTCAATTCTTTTTAATTTATTAACATTTCGAAAAAATCTGTTTTAATCGATTTGAAATTCTGGAAATAACAAATACATGCATCTATACATGACTATAAGTCACTATTTATAACAATATATCAGAGCGAAATCAAGATTTATAAGTTCTTGAACTAAGAATATTGGCTAAAGATTATTGTGTAAGATTCAAATTTTTACTATAAAAAAAAAAAAAAAAAAAAGATTAAAAATTATGAAAATTATTCACGATTAAATCCTATTTGTTTTTAAAAATGTTTAAGGAAGTGTAAGCAAGATTGCAGTAACATAATAATATGGATTCAAGAAAAAGAAGGACAATATTGGAATATTTAATTGTTACCAAAATATTATTTCGTATTTTTTTACTTTTTATTTGAAAAACAAGTAAAGTAAATTTATAAAAAAAAACATATGATCAACATATTAAATAGAATTAGAATTTCTAAGAAATATTTTTTTTTTTTATGTTTTTGTAAGAATTTAATGTACTGTCCATACATATTTATGCTTGATAAATCTTATGTGTGATAAGAAAGTAGAAAAAACATCAATGGCAGTTACATGATTAAGAAGCCATTCATTAGAAACTTAGGTTAATTAAGAAAATTAAATCAAAAGATCACGATACTACCCTCTTGTAAGTGTGAGAAGAACATTTTGAGACAGAGGGGGATGAAAGGATAGCACAGTAATTTATGAATATATTATGCTTTTTTATAATCCTAAAAAAAAAAAAAACTGTCGTCAAATTTTCTTAAATATGCTAAATAAGCCAAAAATTCAACATTGTCAAAGTTAGCAAAATTAAATTGTATATATGTATCAACCACAGTATTTTATAATAGATTATTTGCGAAATTTCACTAACGAATTTGCATACTGCATAAAATTTAGCATTAGATTGATGTACAATATCGTGTAAACTTATGACGACCCTTGATAAAAATAATTTAGTCAAGGTTCCGCTATATGCGTAAGCATTTTAGGCCAATCGCTTGCCACAGTCGACCGTTTTATCGGTGAAACCGCAATCCACCACACTTTCTCACCATTGCACCCTTTCCACTGTTTGAGATAATAAACGCCACTTTTATTGCACGACCCGCATTATTACAACAACTACTATAGGTGTATAACAATAATATGTGAAAATAGCAACCCGACCGGCTCAGTGGATGATCGGTTCTTCTACAATCGTGTTGCATATCTATTACAGGAATTACACATGGAGGTTGTTATTTTTATTATCGTTACTGTGCACGTTTACCACTGACGATGGTTTTGATCGGCTTCAAGCGATAATATAAGAATTCGTTTTTATATTTTATGTATATCATAACCATATGCAAATCATATGCGAACTTCCGTTGAATATTTTTCTCAAATCTTAATAATAATATAATTTATATGTACTGTATTAATACGCTTCGGTCGGGGAACACTAAATACAAATCACTGAGATGTATGCAGAATAAAAAAATGTCAGGGTATGTTTTCGAGAAGAGGTATTAATGATTAGTACTTTTTATTGAAAATCAAATATCTTACCACCGTCTATTTTATAAATGAATTGAAACATTTTTTTAGACCTTTGGAATATTGTGTATAACAGTTTTAATATTATAATAATGCTAACGATTATCAATTATTATATAGTTTGCATATACTGGTAATATTAAATGGATATCTAATTGTATTACTTGACTATATTTAGGCATTGCATGTCGTCAATATTTTATTCCAGTTGTTTACGAAATAAAAATATTTTAAGTATTATATTATATCTAAACGTTTTGAATTTTAAAATCAATTAGTAATATTATTATGAAATAAAAATCGGCGAAATAGATTGTCGTGAACAAATAATAGACATTTTCATTTAAAGTTCAAGTGGCTTATATATAAAGAATAATGTGTATAATGTGTTTTCAAAAGGGATTTCTAGGCTTAAAATTATTTCAAGTTTATTCCTTACAACTCGTACAAGAAAAAAAAAAGTCAGAATATATATATTATCAATAAAATATTATGTAATGTGTAACATATCAATTATTTTAATTGAAACAGATACCATGATTAGGATTTAATTACTGTTATTTGATTTTTCCAAATTAATAACGTCAATAAAACCATTTTTTTTTTTTTATCATATTTCATTAAGTAGACAGTTAAATGTAAGATATAAAATTTATTAATGTCATGTTGCAGCTATAATATTGTTATATAAATATATATTACGAAAATAGTTGGATATAATGTTAATTGTTAAATTATACATGTACTTAAAAAATGTTTCATGATTATATGAATAAACATATTTTAATTATATTTGTGTCACTAAGTTACGTGTAAATATAGTTTTTTTTAAACAAACTACTGAACTGTTTGCGTGAAGAAATACTTTGTTATAGTAAAATTATGCAAAAATATTGATTCACATAATAATGTTTAAATAAATAAAAATGAAAGCATCGGGCCTTTAACTATGTATACTTTATTTTTATAACACAAGGGTAACCTATTCAAATGACATAATATTAACAAAAACGATGGTTGCGTCAGAAAATCAACAATATCGACAAATAATTTTTAACGTAAAAGTGAAGAGTTAGAATTTAGTTCCGTTTATGTTTCAACCTCTAATTATACAACTATAATAAAATATATTGCCTACCACTGGTTCCACAACTTCTACGTTTCATTGAAGTAGTGTTTGTGAAATATTAATAGTTGATATTATGTCAATGTCTTTTCCCGATTAAAGGTCAAAACTTAGAAGTTGACGTCCAAATATTTGACATATTGTTTTACATTTTGGTACCAAACAAATTTGAATACATTGCTTGTACTTTTTTTAAGACAATCTTTTGATGAAATTACAATTAATATATTTTAAATTGTAAAATATTAGTTTTGGTCATTAGTTACCTAACAGTTAAAAATAATTTTATTGTGTAACGATCTGGGAAATGTTTTATTTATTTATTTAAAAGTCTTGTAATTTTTAAACTCATTTTAAGCTTAAAATAAATTGATTTTTACGGTAATATTCTATAATACTAACCATTATAACCATATTATTGTATTATTATTTTTATTTGAATTATGTACACAATTTTAAATTCCAATGTTAATATAAATTGCAAATTAGGTTCTAAAGATAAAATAATAAATTTCAATTCTATAAAATTTAAACGAATATGTATTTATAAAACAATTATAGCATTCATAATATAAATAAAATAAAAGATAATAACATTTATGCAGAATAATAAAATAAAATTGTTCATTTCAACTTTTTAGTATTAAACATGCAAAATTGATTAAAATTTGTATAATATTCCCACATATTATTTTGCTGATCTCCATCAAAATTTTATATCTTATAAGTCAGTAAACATGTCCATAAAAATTAATTATGATAATAATAATATTAGCATAATATTATGTATAAACATAAATTTGATGATTTAGTGTAAAACGAGGTTTAAAGAATATTTAATTGTATTTTCTTATTTTTTAATAAGTTAATAAACAAAGTATTTTAATTGACCGTTATTTTATGTAAATGTGTAGTTTTTATACTGTTAGAAGAATTCTTTTGTTTCATGTACAAAATTCAAAACAAAATTAGGTACTACCCTACCATGGAATTTCAGTTACTCCACGGTATTCTATCGTTTAATACATGCTAAATGAAGTTTAATAACATTTAGAAATAATAATATTCATTTTTAAAGTTTAAATAATATATGGACTATATGGAAGCAGTTTATCAAAAATAACTATAAAATATGAAAATTAGGGATGAATGCCATGTTACAGTTCATAGACACGTTTAATTATCTAATTTTTTTCTTTTTTATTAAAAAGTAACAACTAAAAAATTGAATAATATTTTTAAAGTTGTTATAAGTTTCATATTGACATATATTTTAATTTTTTTAATTCAGCCTTATTATTCAACTGAAATATATGTTTAAATAACCAAATGTTTGTTTTATTTTAAAATTTATTCCAAGTCCTAACATACTTTACTATCTACTATCTCTATAGTTAGTAAATAATTATATAATATAATATGTATTATATATTATAATATGTATATATATATATATATATATATATATATTATAATCTATAACCAAGTATACATAAATAACTATAAATTTATCAAATTGTACTTAAATTATAATTATAATTAATATTTTATTGTTAGGTATACTTTTAATATATTAATAAGAATACCAATTAAT